TCCGGGGGGGGGTGCGACCGGGCCCCGCCCCTTGGGGGCGCCAGCCACCGGGTCGCGAGGCTGGGGGCGGCGGAGACCCCTGGGCTGCCCGGCCCGGGTGGAGAGGGCTTCGCCCAGGTCCGCCCGCCTCGCCCCCGTCCCCGTCGCTTGGCTTGTCGGAGAGAAAGACACCTGTGGAAAGTGCCGCCGGGAACTTCTCTCTGCCTGATCCGCGCGATTACCGAACTTGGGCTTTGGGTTTGCACAACAGCGTTGGCTTGTGGGAGTGGGGAACAGGTGCCCGGCCCCGCTGGGAGCGGGGACACTGCGGGCGGGTTAGACCCACGTGCAAGACGCCTGGCCTGGGAGGCCAGCGGAGCCCCTCTCCCCTGGCCCGCCTGGAGCGCGTTACCCCGGCGGCTTAGCCCCTGCCCTGCCATCTGGGCTCTCTCTGCCGGCCCTTTGTGCCTTCTAATCCCCGGGCGCTGGACGCTTACGGGCGGGACTTCGGTCCCGGGGCCTTTCTCCGCCCGGGCGGCTTTGGACACCTTTAGGCGACCGTAGAAAGATCCACTCGGTTTTCCACAGACTGGAGGGGGTTGCGCTGTAGGACTTGGCAACGAGTGGAAAATTCTGTCTTGCCGGGGAAAGTAGCCCTCGGTCTGCTCTGGACAGACGTTGGTGGGCACTTTGCGACTTCGCAGTAAGAACTGACCGTAACCAGGGGAGCTGCCGTGTGGCCTTTGTGGCTCTCACCTGAGACAGGTGAACTCTGGGTGGAGGGGGCGGAGCTTAAACTCAACGTGCTTTCCCAGGAGACCCATATGCCAAACTGGCCGCCTCAACCAGGCTCTAGGGAGCCTCTGCGGGTGTCCGCACCGCAAGGTCTTGCGGGGCTACCAAGGGACTTACAGCAGGGAGGAAATGGGTGTGTCTGGTGGCAAGGAAACCCTGCTGGGACTAGCGGAGCTGCTGCGGCTTTTGAGGATGACTGTCTGGGTCTGTGAGGCCGGGCCGTTGGAGAAATGTTCTTGTTTTATGGACAGAGTTGGGCCAGGTTTTTTCTTTTCTTTTCTTTTCTTTTCTTTTCTTTTCCTTTTTTTTTTTTTTTCTTAAGAGAGAGTTTTTTTGCTATATGGAGCGTGCACTCTCTGGAGAAATTTCAAAACAGAAAGTGAGAAATTACCCCCCCCCCGGGGGGAATGGCCACACTGCACTCCCTTCTTCCCCAGTCCTCTCAGGATTTTGGGCACACACACGTCCGGTGTGACCACTGGGTCCAGAACTTGAACCGCTGTTGACTACATGGGAGTCCGTTGACGTAACCATTATGCCATCTGGCGGTCCCAGGGTTGGGCTTTCTTACGTGAGCTACCCGCAGTACTCAATTGTGATAGTTGGGACTCAGCACAGCTCCTAAGACTCAGAGCTCGCTCCTCTTCCAAGTCGGGTGAGGCCTGTCTCTGGGAGCTGCTGCTCAGCATTTCCACGGTCTAGGGCCCTCTGCATTCTTATTCTTCCTTGAGGCCCTGGAGTATCCCCTTTGATGGCAGGTTAATATAACTTTAATTACATTAAAATAACAGTAACTTGTATATACACATCATCATTAAAAAGATAAAGGCCCATGATTCCAGGTGACATCTGTTCATTTAAAAATTCGAAAAAGGGCAAAACTTTTAAGGAACACAAAAATGGCAAGTTACCTGTGGATGATAATGCATATGGTAATATCTTTTGGGGGGGGGGGAGGGAGCGAGAGGATTTTGCTATAGGGCTTGTGCGCTTGCCAGAAGACAAAGCTTTAGCGAGAAATCACCCCCCAGGGGGGATGGCCACACCACAATCCTTCTCCTCCATTCTCCTCTCAGGATCTTGGGCACGCACACGTGACCGGCGTGAGTTTAAGCCACCCGGTCCTGGACTCGAACCGTGGTCGACCACATGGGAGTCCAGCAACATAGCCATTATGCCAACTGCTGGTCCCAGTAATATCTTTGAATGGACTAATATACAATGTATTTATGTGGGATGGGAGTTAGGGATGGAAAAGAGTGAGCTGGCCCTGTAACCTAGTGTTTAAGGGAGTCAGATCCCACAATTCAAATTCTGGCCCCAGAAGCTGGAAAAACCCTGGACATGTGTGTATGCATGTCCCAGAGCCTGAGAAAATGGAGAAGGGACTGCAGTATGACCATACCCCATTGGGGGGTGCTTTCTCTCTCTCCTCCATGTCTCTCTGGCAAGTGCACACACTCTAGTAATTAAAAATAAACTAATAAATAAACAAAGTTTTAAAAAATGAAAAAGAGGGTCCCAATGGGTGGCATGGCAGTTGGGGCACTGGACACTCCCACATGACCAATCGCAGTTCAAGTCCCAGACCTGATGGCTCACTTTCTCTCTCTCTCTGTCTCTCTCTGATCAAATTGAAATGAATGAATAAATAAATAAAATTAAATGAATAATTTTTAAAAAATGGAAACGGGAAGTGAGGTAGAGAAAATAAAATATTTTAGAAAATGTGAGATAAGAGGGAAAAAGACTTCCTCTCTTCCTGGCAATGTTTCTTTCAAATATCATTAATGTTCGCTGAGATGTTCATCTTTCCAGACCTCAGATGTAGTTTCGAATTGAGCCTTGCTGAATTCTTGCTGTGTGGCCTTAGTTTGGTCACTTAACCACGCTGAGGTTGGTTTTACAGATGTCGAGGAGAGGATGCAATGTGAACTCCGGTGACCTGGCACATAGCAGGCACCTGGGGGGGATAACCTTTTAGTCTCCGTAAAGCATAAAAAGTACTGTCACTCACAGGCCTTTGGCTGGGCTCCTGGGCCTTTCGGAAGTGCTTAATGGGCTAGGGAGTTTGACTTCCCTGTCCAGAAATCAGCTGGAGGTCCTGGCTTCGTGACTTTTTTATCTTTTTTTTTTTTTTGGAGAGATTTTCACTGTAGGGCGCGTGCGCTCACCAGACAGACAGAGAGAGACATAGAGACAGAAAGCGAGAAATCACCCCCCAGGGGGGATGGTCACGCTGCAATCCCTTCTCCTCCATTCTCCTCTCGGGATCTTGGGCACGCACACACACGCGCCCGGCGTGAGTGTTAAGCCACCGGGTCCGGGACGTGAACCGCGGTCTACTACGTGGGAGTCCAGTGACCATTACGCTAACTGCTGGTTCCCCTGGCTTCGTGACTTTTTGAAGTCTCAGAGCTTTTTCAATGAGGACGCTCTAAAGGAGTAGGAGCCAAAGGTAGGGGGCAGTTTCTGAAACCAACATCGTTCCAGTGGACCTTGAGACCTCCTTGCTTCCTGGGAGATCCGGGACAGGACAGGCCCCAGCGGATGAGAGATGGGGGCGGGGTGGGGATGGAGAGTGCAGAATCTAACCTGAGCTTCCTGTTGAGGCTGGAGGGTTTTCCAGTGCTCTGCACAGGGTTGGGGGTGGGGAGGGCAGCACATTCCTGGGCTGCTCTGTGGTCCTTGAGATTCTCTAGGAGCTCCATAATGCCCGCTTTCTACCTGAAGGAAGCTCTCCTGCCTGGACTTCTGGCCCCAGGACCTTCCCAGAGAGGAAGTGCAGTGTGCAGCCCTGCCCACCCTGTTGGAGATACTGAGCGTCCCTGGCAAGAGCCTCTGGAGCAGTTTGGGGAGGTCTTGTTTCCTGGGGTGTTATTCAGCCCTTCTGGGAGTCACAGTGGCTGTGGAGACACCTGAGGTGGGGGGCCGAGAGCTTCTTACCC